GACTGCTACTCAAATGCAAGCAAATGCTACAAAGCGACTCTACAAATTCCGTAACAGACCTCACTTTTCAAGACACGCGAAACGAATTTACGAGAAAACATACTACTCACATGCCCCATCAGTAGTATCCACCGTTGCGCTGGTATTCAACGACCTTCCATCAGTCAACTATTTTCTGAGTCCTTTCGAACCATCTCGCGCATACAACAGCAGTTTTTCTGAGGACGTGTCCGTAGCAGAACAACAACTAACACTCGTACGAGACCACCGTGTGGACAAAAAGACTATCCAGCGACATCTCGCACAGCAATGAACTCACCTGACCGACTCTGAGAACACCGAACGACCTTCTACTAACAGTGCAAGAGGTTGAAGGGAACCACAAGTATCGTTTTGCATCCTGATTTCTATTGTGGCCTCAGAGACAATCTAATAAACGACCCGACCTGCCTTAAATGCTCATACAATGTGCTGCTCAACTAGCGAACCATTCCGCGGGCGTTTTCCAGGACTTCCTCATTGGGACTTTGTTGCGACTTGCTGAATGCTCGTGCAACTCTGTATCGGTCCCTTGGTTTCCTGCTCCACCCACTCTGGTATGCCAGAAGGCACGATAACTTCAAACAGCCCTTCGTGGAGAGAAGGGAAGATTATTACAACTGTATTTATACGGGAAATGAAAGTGTTCCACAAGGTCGTGCTAGATTCTCCGTGATAGGACGAGAAGGGTTGAGCCAAAGATGCTCGATCCAGATTGGCTAGCATTCTGACGAATCAGGTCACGCCTCTGTTTGGTCCGTAGCCTGCACCGGAGACATCCGTCCAAATGATGTGATGTTCGGTTATTGGGGGCGGCTGGCCTTCGGACAAACTTTGCCTTTTTGCTTCATGTATGACATAATAAATCTTATCCGCCAGTGACTTCAGATTCAACTGACCAAATCAAAGAAACACAACCCTCCTTTCTGTGACGAACGGCCCATACTTGTTGGTAACACATTACCCAAATGTGTTTCTCGGTCATCCAATCTACTTGGATCAGTTATCTGATCACGATCGAGCGATATTCACAATGGGTCCATTTACGCCCAACCCCCTTGTGAACAGTGATTTATTACTCAGGAAAAAAGACCAGAGATTCCTTGGGGGGAGGGAGCTCATTTGACGGATTTTATCATTTTCTAAGAAAACGGAGGGAGGGATTCCGGATGGTGGGTTGTGTTTGACCAATACGAATTCAGCTTCCCTTGAAACAGTGATGACGAAAGGCGCGCGTATACTGAACCAACCGTGAAGTTTCTTAACCTCATTTGGGCTCCAAAAATGACACTCGTGTGCTGTCTCCGACAGAACTTTTAGCGTTCGACTTGCTAAAGAGCAGCGGCATCAGGATACTTAGTGAAGCGACAAAAAACAGGAGAAAGTCTGCATCTGAACCCTATCAGCATGCCTGACACTCAAAATTCTGCTGTCTTCCGGTTACTCATTTAACGAAGTTTCGGGAACTCAGTCATGGCTATGGGTGTACCGTCGGAGAGTAAAAGCAACAAGGTAATCCAACTAAGGCAACCCAAAACCGAGAACAAAAAGAACCACTGCCAAATCGTTTCAGGTTCGCACATATGCATTGTGGATGTGCGGCAGGTGACAGTTTACAAGCAGGTGCGCTAAGTAAATCCGGCTAACAGCTATTTGAAAAAAATCGGTTTTACTACAGTGAACATTTTCAAAGTCCTGCCAGTACCTGTAAAAATACAGTTCTGGAGAACTGCTTCAAACCACTTCGTGTCATTCGGCGCCCCAGCTAAGCCAATAGTGATCAACGAATTGTTTGCAGTTAAGCAGGCGTTTTATTTCACCATTGACCCGTCGCCCGACCACCGAGCGAGCCAAACAGATGCGACGAACCGCATCCTCATTGAGTGAGGAAGTCCAGATGAAAGAAACATTATCGATCGCATCCTGAAGTCAACGCTGTGCAAAATGGGCTTTAGGCTTCCGCACGCCAGGAGTTGATTCTACGGTACACGGCTTACATCTGTGACAAAGCTGAATGTTTCAAATGACCACCTAGAGGGAAAGCTTTGATGCACAATCCGAAGTGGCCGGACAGGTGCTAATTGGCCAGGCTACCCATCGGCTGATTGACAGTTTAACAGCTGTATGGACATGCGATAGAAATTCCATATGTGACCAGCGAGATGGCTCAAGTGGTTAGAGCGCGAATTTACTGACCGGAACGTCCGTGGTTCGAACCCGAACTCCGCCACTCGACTTCCCCTGTCTAGGCTTGGGCAACCTGACAGTTTCCCAGCCCTCGTGGCATGGCAGCTAGGCACCGCAAGGGCACTACAGCTGAACGATTATTATTTATTTATTATTATGACCAGCTTATCTAAAGCGACCGCCGTCTTCAGACAGTACCCGCTTTCGAAAGGTTTTACTACACCATACGAAGGTTAAAACGTAGCAGTGAAGGACTTGAGCGACAGAACACCGGCAAGGTCAGTCCTCGGCGTAATCTCGGTGTGACCTTGACCTTGGTTGAACCAACCGGGGGATGGCAACCGAAGCTACGAATTTCCTGATTAGCTGACCGTTTGCAAGAGAAATTTACTCACTTGCAAATCAATTTGGTTTTCACGAGAGATCAACCGAATTCTCTCATTTATGATATTCTACAACTGAAATATGAGGCGGCACTTTCAGTCGTAGAATATCATAAACGAGAGATTCGGTTGAGTCTCTCGTGAAAACCAAATTGATTTGCAAGTGAGTAAATTTCTCTTGCAAACGGTCAGCTAATCAGGAAATTCGTAGCTTCGGTTGCCATCCCCCGGTTGGTTCAACCAAGGTCAAGGTCACACCGAGATTACGCCGAGGACTGACCTTGCCGGTGTTCTGAAGAGGTTTCAGCAACCTTATGAGTAGTGTCCGTTATGAAAAAAGACTGGGGGTGTTCTAGAGACCCAAGGTCACATCACTGTTTGACCGATTCATATCCAACAAAACAGGGAATGGCGACGCGCAAACCTAAAAGTAGGAACGACACCATTAGTAGGATGCTGCCGAAAGGACTGCGAACGTTGCCTAGGAAACAGAGGGATAGCTAAACACGGTCTTCCAGTCCACATTACTACAAACGAAAACTGCGGAATTATGATAAAATTGAATAGTTTTCAGGCCATCTGGTGCAGCTGAGAGACCACAAAACAAATCTGAAGACAATGAGAAGGGCTATACGAGAACGCGTCTAAAACGAGTAGGGCGGCTAGCAGAACGTGGGGGGCACGAGGTCTGTCCACGCGCTGAAAAAAACGTACTAACTCCTCGCTCGGAGCATGACATGAAAATAAGACTGAAAGAACAAGAGCAAAACTCCGGTTTGTAGTATATCACGTGATCCACATGTGGGCGACCTCGTGTTCTGAAAAACGATTGTCCCGGGACCCATCGGCGACCGGTAGTCTCATCGAGAACAGTTTCTCACCATTTGCTAGAAGGATTTCGAAACTGGCCGCGATATTCGTTTTTCAAACAGAACAGCTTCACGGGTTCGTAGATGAGAATGAGCCAGAAGGAGAAGACGCTAGTTTGTAGAAGCCTGGCGGACAATCCCTTGCCGAACCATCGAATTCCCTCTTTGGCCCACAAAATGCGAATAGTTTCTCGGAACGACAGGTTCCCAACCTGTGAAAAAAGAAGAGTGAAATGCGGGGTCCTGGTTAATCTTTTCACACACAAAAACTGTGGAAAAGTATATTCGGTCAACTCGAATCTGGAGGCGATCTAGTACGCTATATAAACAGCGGAACATTGGTAACAAGAACTAAGGACGGAATGAAAGGGTTTGTTTTTCCAATCCGCAAAAAAAACTGAACCACCATCCATTCCTCGTAAACGGCCGCCAACCATGCTCATCTCTCGAATTCCAAAGGTGATTCAAATCAGTAGTATAGTTGAAATCCGCATTTTTGGAAGTTTACGCGTTCACATCACTGTTGTATATACAGTCCTACAGTCCTGGCGAGCCTACACCAAAGGGAAGAAGCATTGGATTCGAGTTTACTTCTTATTGGAGCTCATCAGTAGTGCACACCCTTGATCGTACCGCGGTATGAAACCCCAGACACGTAGGGCGTGCGTGTTACCACCATGCCAGCGCATACGCTGGATGCGACTGAATTATCACGTCCGAACAGGTGAGCGATGCAACTGGTTTGGCCTAATGCTCGAAGGACGAACGTCCTGGTTGTGTGGATTGACTGACCCGCCCGTCCGCACTTTGAAGTCAGGTGGCGCCACGGACGTTTCAAACTCACTAGACAATTGCCGTTTTTTTCATGCAATAGTGAGTGAGCGTTCGCCTTAGTGAGACACACATAGGAACACTTAACGTAAACTGATTTATAAATGCCACCAGAAGTGTTAGGGTTTGATTGTTTGATTTCGCGACCATTTGAGGTCGAATGACACGGAGTGGCCAAAGGTTGCGGGTTCGAATATCCACGGAGGTTCGTGAAGGATACGCGACAAGGATGAAATAACTATGCACGCTTTTCGGAAGATGTGGAAACAATAAAATTCCCACGCATTGCCAATAGTATCCGAATGGAAAAAACTGAGAAGCTGCGTTGTTCTTAAGGTCAAATATAGGTATGATTTTCTTTACAGAGTAAAAGTGAGGAATATGGTTTTCGGATTAGGAAACGCTGGCCCAGTTCTTCACAGACCTGTCCGGGTTATCGTGCCTTTTGTAGTCTAAGCGTAGATCCGTCAGCTTCTTAGTTTATACACACCTTTTACGATGTAAAATTACACACAAACGAAGGTGGAATGGGTTACGCTGATGGTCGTGATGAGCAAGTGCATGACCTTCATATCGGTTTCAACATTTTGGAAGAACCAAGTTAACGGCACTGAGACCTTCCTCTGCTCACTAGGACGTGGTGACTAAAAATTTAGCCTTTTCCACAACCCATACTTAGTTCTGCCAATTAATTTCAGTCATTCAGCTACAAACCGTGCACCAAAGTGCAGTGGTTCCAGCTGACAGACCTTCGTTCAACGAGGATAAGAACAAAGAAATGAGAGCCACGCGTTGGATGCTATGGCCTAATAAGTTGATTGAAGTCGAGTGGTTCTGCATGCCCGGTGTGGCAGGGAGTAACGGAGCTATGCAGTGAGGGCGATAGCTTTGATGTAAGACCGCCATTGGCTGCGTGGAACGGCCATATTTGTCAGTATCGTCCAGAAGTCCTTTTTCGGGAAGGTGGTAGTTGTCGACGCAACTGATGATGATGATACTCGGAAAACATACACTGTGACTCGGATATGAATTCGTTTTAATACGATCCACAGAATGAGTGACCACGATGTCCACAGCTTGAAACATATCTACAGCGATTACCTATGGGTTTCCAAGCGGACGGATACCTTGTATGGTACTCTCGAATGGCTGCTACAGTGGTACCTAGATGATCACATGCGTCATCAGAAGTCCCCTTGAAAACATTAATCCAGAAAGCCTTTCTCATGGCAGTAGAAACTCAACAGAGCAGTGCGTTGCTCCGGCACAAGCCTTGTACTTTTCTAGCATGCCTACAAAATCTGCATTCTAGTTTTCAGACAAACGGCTGATACGAAGCGTAGTGGTTTGTTTGCACATGAACAGCTGTACAAGATTCTTTTCAGTTAACCAGCAGATAGCATCGTGCAGAGGGTTAGGAAACAGATGGGTTGCTTTTAGGGTGGCGCTATCACAATGCTGACCTACAGCTCACCTAGCCAGCCCAATCAGAATGACCTGTCCCTGATTGGTCGAAGGCCTCACTAACCTTCTGAGTTAATTGGGTGAGAATGCAGTGCGGTACATAGTAATCAACGCGGACTGGATGTGGTAGAGTTAGCAAGGCAAACTAGGAATGGTGATGAGTCAAAGTGCGGTGCTCAAGGGTCACTGGTCGAGCGCATCTATCAATTACTACCTGATAAAAGTGCAGTCAGATATGATGGCCGCAGGAGAGCAAAAAAAATCGTCCAGCTGTAACACGCTCTCGGTGCCTTTCTGGCATGCATGAAGGTTGGGCTATTGTCAGGTTGTTCAAGCCCAGACAGGAGCAGTCAAGATGCCGACGTTGGGTAATGGCTTCATCACTGAGTTATCTCGAGCGAGATGGCTCAAGTGGCTAGAGCGCGAATTTACTGACCGGAAGGTTCGCGGTTCGAACCCGACTTCCGCAACTTGGCAGTATCCCAGCCCTCGTGCTTCCTTCGGGTGGCATGGCAGCTAGACACCGGAAGGTTGTAACAGCTGAGAGATTTTTTATCTTGAGCTCAAGGATGAACGGCCGCAACACTTTGTATTCCCAGCCGGTCGCCCATACAGATATTAACCGGGATCAACGTTGTTTAACTTCGTTGACCAAACGAGAACCGGTGTTCCCAACATGGTATAGTCACGGCCATACCGCGAAAAACATGATGTTCGGAAGAACTGCATCTTACTGAAAGTAGACCATCTTACTACTTTGTTCAGTAACAAGTGTCCGAAATCCCTAAAATTCTGACGAAAAAAAAACAATCGTCAAAATGGCGCGGGAGATTTGACTGTCTCTCTGTGGGAGCGACTGCGAAAAGTAGTGGCCTGCTAAAAGGAAATAGGGGTGTCCTGCCAAAAATATCATACAAGACTGGGCCTACAGCTCAGTTCAATAGGGATGGATAACTGTGGAAACGACCAAGGCGCACGCATTAATGTCTACAGGCAAACATTACACACTCGCAGTATGACAATACAAAATTTGGTCTCGATGTGTTGGCGCTTTTCAGGGGGGGGGCTGTAAACGGTAGATGCTGGCTTAAGTGCTTGTTGTTTACGAAGCAAAGATGTGAAGATCCACTGTCTGGTGACTTGTTCTTGTCCAAAAGCAATTCAAAATCGGTCGTTGCCGGTGCTTTGA